CGCCCCCGCGCCCCGCCGCCGGCCCCGCCGGCCCCCCGCGCGAGATGATGGACGGCCGCCTCCTGGAGCACCCGCATGCCCAGTTCGGGGGCTCGCTGGGCGGCGTGGTGGGCTTCCCCTACCCGCTGGGCCACCACCACGTGTACGAGCTGGCCGGCCACCAGCTGCAGTCGGCCGCCGCCGCCGCCGCCGCCGCCGCCTCGGTGCCCTTCTCCATCGACGGCCTGCTCAGCGGCTCGTGCGCCGCCGCCGCCGCCTCCGTGGTCAACCCCACGCCGCTGCTGCCGGCCGCCTGCGGGGTAGGAGGCGACAGCCAGCCATTCAAGCTGTCAGGTAGGTGCAGCGGGCGCAGAGGGCACCCTCATCGGGCGCAGGAGCTGGGCTGCCGGGGGGGGGGGGGCAGCGGGTGGGGGGGGGGGGGGACGCCGCCCAGCGAGCCCCCGAACTGGGCATGCGGGTGCTCCAGGAGGCGGCCGTCCATCGTCGCGCGCGTGGGCCGGGCGGCCCCGGCCGACGCGCGGGGGGGGGGTTGCCCAAGCCACCTCCGCCCCCCCCCCCCCCGCGGTCTGCCACCCCGGCGCAGGGGTCCCCGGACCCGGGCGGCCGACAGGTGTCCAGGGGGTGGATGTGGCCTGGGCCCTGGCTGAGCCCTGCGGCGTCCTCTGCGTGCCCGCAGACTCGGGGGACCCCGACAAGGAGAGCCCGGGCTGTAAGCGGCGGCGCACCCGCACCAACTTCACCGGCTGGCAGCTGGAGGAGCTGGAGAAGGCGTTCAACGAGAGCCACTATCCCGACGTGTTCATGCGCGAGGCGCTGGCGCTGCGCCTGGACCTGGTCGAGTCCCGAGTGCAGGTAAAGGCCGCCGCTCCCCGCGGGAGGCCGCGTCCCGCCGCCGCTAGGCCTGCCCGGCGCCGGTCCCGCCTTTGTTCCAGGTGGGGACCGCGGCCCCGCTTCCGAGCCCGCCTCGCGCTCGCCGGCCCCGCGGTGGTAGTGGGGTGCCGGGGTTCGACGCTTCGCGGAGAGAAAGCGAGGTGGCTCGGGAGGGGCCGGAGGCCCCGAAGTAGCCGGAACAGCAGCTGCGTCGGACCCGGGAGCTGCGTGGTGGGGGGGGTCGGGCGACGGCGCAGAATGAAGCGTCAGAGGGCTGGGAGGCGGTGAGGGGTGCGGGGGCGGGAGGGAGCCGGCCCGGCTCGGACCTGGAAGAGGCCCGGAGCACGTACCCTTCCTAGCCCTCGCCTGGGCCTGGGCGCTCGGCCCGGAGCAGACGCGTTTGTTTGTTTACCTCTCGCCTTTAAACTATTCAGACGGAGACATGTATTTATCCAACGCTTTGCAGAAGGAGGTTAGCTGAGGAAGGGGAGGCGGACACGGCAGCGGGAAGAAGGTGTCTGAATCTTTCGTACTCTCGGTTTTCTTTCCCCGGTACTTTGATGTTATTCGGACGTTGCCGGCGTTGGTTGTTTTTTTTTTTTTTTTTTAAATATAGTGTCAGTTTGTTGGATTAAAAATTCAGGATGAATTGCGCATAATCGGGTGTTTCCCTGAAGTACAGAAATCTTTTTCTGGGGTCGGAGTGGCGGTGAGCCGGGGTGTGCAGCTGTGGGAGCAGGGCTTTGAGGCAGACGCCTGGCAACGCGGGTTTAGCACCAATAGCTTTGTCTAAAAGGTGTTCTCCACCCCAGCTCGCGCTGCCCCTCATGACCTCTTCTGTTTATAAATCCTTTCATCCAATTTGTTTAAGTGTCTTAAGCAAAGACCTCTTCATCCCCCCCCCCCCGTGTGATAATGAGCATTACTTGGTGACAAGTCAGCCTGGAATTTGCACCCCCCAAAAAAAAGTATTGGAAGGAAGGAAGGAAGGAAGGAAGGAAGGAAGGAAGGAAGGAAGGAGCGAGCTCCAGCCTTGGAGAGGTTACAGCTTAGAACCGTCACCTCGGCACCAGCAAGGCTCCCTGTGACCAGGCCAGCCGCTATTGTGGCTGGTCTCTCCATGGCCCCAACAAAGAATTCAAATTATCGTGATCTCTCGGGGAGGGTGGTGTGCCTGGGGCCGACAGAGATTTGCCTGTGTGTACGGGGTGGGGGATCGGTACCTGGGACCAGGGTTCCCCAGGACAAGGCCTGCACAGAGGGCAGAAGAGCTGCTGGGGCCCAGGCCGCTCCTGCAGCACCTGGCGGCTGGCATCTTCCCTGTCTGCCTTCCTCCCTGGCCTAAGCCCAGCACTGCTTCCAGAGGGCTCTGTTGGTGGCCTAGAGCCTCCAGAAAGAAGGATGTGTGCGAAGGTGGGGGGGGGCTGCTGGACCCCTCCCCCTAAGCTCGGCTTCCCAGGCCCTTCTAGAAGAAGCACCCAGATTTCCCTTTAGGGGGGCCCCCAATATGTGGGCTTTGACTCAGTCTCCAGGGGGCCGAAGACAGGTGTGGAGGGCAGCTGAGCCCAGCCACTGGTGGTCCTCAGGCCAGACGGTCAGCACCAGGCCAGGCAGGCTGCTTAGAACAGGAGCTGTGAGAAGCCAAGAGGGGCGACGAGGGGCTGCTCCTTGCGCGCCTCCCGACCAGGAACCAGGAGCCCTCAGGGGCCAGACCGGCCGTACCCAGCGAAGGGGCAGCTCCCAGTTCCCTGAGGTGAGAAGCCAGAGTGGGAAGCTGGCCCAGAGGCCCCATCTACCTCCTTCCGGGTGGAAAAGATGCTCTTTGGAACCTGCAGCTTGAGTGCCGAAACCCAGCTCAGGGCTGGCTGGGCCTCGTGCGTTGGCTTCCGCGCCCCCCCCCCTCCACTCCATTACCCCTCGGCCCGGAGCGGAACCGAGGTTGTACAGGCCTGTCGGGGGGGGGGGCAGTGGGGAGGCCCGAAGTCCCAGCGGCAAGCCCGCCGCCTGACTGTGCCTTCCTTTCCCCTGTCCGGCTGCTCTAGGTCTGGTTCCAAAACCGCCGGGCCAAGTGGAGGAAGAAGGAGAACACGAAGAAGGGCCCGGGGCGGCCGGCTCACAACTCACACCCCACCACGTGCAGTGGCGAGCCGATGGACCCGGAGGAGATCGCGCGCAAAGAACTGGAGAAGATGGAGAAGAAGAAGCGCAAGCACGAGAAGAAGCTGCTCAAGAGCCAGAGCCGCCACCTGCACTCGCCGGGCGGCTTGTCCCTGCACAGCGCCCCCAGCTCGGACAGCGACAGCGGCGGCGGCGGCCTGTCCCCCGAGCCGCCCGAGCCGCCG